AAGAGTGATCTGTGCCTTGTGTTATGGTTATGTGTTCTGTTGAGGTTGGTAAGGAGACGTTTGAGGGGAGGGTTTATATCCGAGTTAAGTATTCTATGTATGTAGCAGGTACAATAATAAGTATGGATGTTTTGTACAGTGAGTAGGTTTAGAGTTTTGAATATTGGTGGAGTGTGCTGTCTGAAATGGGAATTTATCATCATTCTGACTGCAGTATGATAACAATAACAACAACAATAATAATAATAATAATAATAATAATAATAATAATATAAATATATTTTATTTCAGCATGACACAATGTCATACAAAGGTTAATGACATTGGGTGTACATGCAGAAAGCCCCTAATTATGCAGAGTATTTCTGGCAAACTAACTTAACATTAATAAGGCAATAACAATATGAGCAAGTAGACCATTCAACTGCCTCTCAGCATACATAACAGGGATTACCAATAGACCCCAGGCTGTCTTCAAGAAGGTTTTGGACAGGCACCTAAAGTCAGTACCTGATCAGCCAGGTTGTAGTTCATACGTCAATTTATGTGTGGCCAACAGTAATGGTCTGGTTGATCAGGCCCTGATCCACCATGAGGCCTGGTCACATACCGGGCCATAGGGGCGTTAACCCCTGAAACCCTCTTATATACTCCAGGTATACATACTGTCACTTGGGTGAGTGTAAGTATAAATTAGTAGGTTGGTAGACAGCAACAACCCAGGGAGGTACTACCGTCCTGCTAAGTGAGTGTATAACGAGAGCCTGTAACTGTTTTACATGATGGTAGGATTGCTGGTGTCTTTTGTCCGTCTCATAAATATGCAAGATTACAGGTATTTCTTGCTACTTCTACTTACACTTAGGTCACATTGCACATACATGTACACGTTTATTTATGTACACTCATCTGAGTTTTCTTTGATTTTACCTTAATAGGTCTTGTGGAATAAGAATCTTTTCTCCGTAAGCCATGCGTGTTGTAATAGTCAACTAAAATACCGGGAACAATGGGCTTTCAATGGTTGGGGATTTCAATGCTAAAGTGGGTAAAAATGTTGTGGAGGGAGTAGTAGGTAAATCTGGGGTGCCAGGGGTAAATGAAAATGGGAAGCCTTTAATTGAGCTATGTGTAGTAAGAGGTTTGGTAATAAGTAATACATACATATTTTATGAAAAAGAGGTTACATATATATACAAGGTATGATACAGCACGAAATGAAAGTAGTTTGTTAGATTACATATTGGTGGAAAAAAGGTTGATGGGTAGGCTTCAGGATGTACATGTTTAAAGAGGGGCAACTGATATATCAGATCATTTTTTAGTTATAGCTACAGTTAGAGTAAGAGGTAGATGGGACAAAAGGAAAATGGCAACAAGTAAGAGAGGTGAAAGTGTATAAACTAAGGGAGGAAGAAGTTCGGGTGAGATATAAGCAACTATTGGCAGAAAGGTGGGCTAGTGCAAAGATGAGTAGTGGGGTGGGGGGGGTGAAGAGGGTTGGAATAGTTTTAAAAATGCAGTATTTGAATGTGGGGCAGAAGTTTGTGGCTATAGGAGGGTGGGTGCAGGAGGAAAGAGGAGTGATTGGTGGAATGATGAAGTAAAGGGTGTGATAAAAGAAAAAGGTAGCTTATGAGAGGTTTTTACAAAGCAGAAGTGTTATAAGAAGAGCAGAGTATAAGAAGAGCAGAGTATAAGAAGAGCAGAGTATAAGAAGAGCAGAGTATATGGAGAGTAAAAGAAAGGTGAGAGAGTGTAAAAGGAGAGCAGATGATAGAGTGGGAGAGGCACTGTCAAGAAATTTTGATGAAAATAAGAAAAAAATTTGGAGCGAGATAAACAAGTTAAGAAAGCCTAGGGAACAAATGGATTTGTCAGTTAAAAACAGAGTAGGGGAGTTAGTAGATGGGGAGATGGAGGTATTGGGTAGATGGCGGGAATATTTTGAGGAACTTTCAACCCTTAAATGGTCCAAACGTATACTATATACGTTTTTTCAACATCTGAAAGTATGTAAAAAAATATAGATGATCTTTTTTGTTTTACATTTGAAAATGTGTAAAAAAACTTTTATCTACTTTTTTTTTGTTATATTTGAAAATATGTAAAAAAAAGATCTACTTATGTAGTAATACGAATTTGAACGTCTATTTGTTTGGACCGTTTAAGGGTTAAATGCAAACGAAGAAAGGGAGACAGTAATTTCATGCAATGGCCAGAGATATATACCATCTTTTAAGAGTGAAGAAGAGCAGGATGTGAGTGTAGGGGAAGTGCATGTGGCATTACACAGAATGAAAGGGGGTAAAGCAGCTGGAACTGACAGGATCATGACAGAAATGTTAAAAGCAGGGGGAAGATATAGTGTTGGAGTGGTTGGTATTTTTGTTTAATAAATGTATGAAAGATGGGAAGGTACCTAGGGATTGGCAGAGAGCATGTATAACTCCTTTATATAAAGGGAAGGGGGACAAAAGAGATTGTAAAAATTATAGAGGAATAAGTTAACTGAATATACCAGGAAAAGTGTATGGTAAGGTTATTATTGAAAGAATCAGAAGCAAGACAGAATGTAGGATTGCGGATGAGTAAGGAGGTTTTAGAGTGGGTAGGGGATGTGTAGATCAAGTGTTTACATTGAAGCATATATGTGAACAGTATTTAGATAAAGGTAGGGAAGTTTTCATTGCATTTATGGATTTAGAAAAGGCATATGATAGAGTGGATAGGGGAGCAATGTGGCAGATGTTGCAAGTATATGGAATAAGTAGTAAGTTACTAAATGCTGTAAAGAGTTTTTATAAGGATAGTGAGGCTTAGGTTAGGGTGTGTAGAAGAGAGGGAGACTACCTCCCGGTAAAGGTGGGTCTTAGACAGGGATGTGTAATGTCACCATGATTGCTTAATATATTTTTGGATGGGGTTGTAAAAGAGGTAAATGCTAGGGTGTTGGGGAGATGGGTGGAATTAAATTATGGGGAATCAAATACAAAATGGGAACTGGCACAGTTACTTTTTGCTGATGATACTGTGCTTATAGGAGATTCTAAAGAAAAGTTGGAAAGGTTAGTGGACGAGTTTGGGAGTGTGTGTAAAGGTAGAAAGTTGAAAGTGAACTTAGAAAAGAGTAAGGTGATGAGGGTATCAAATGATTTAGATAAAGAAAAATTGGATATCAAATTGTAGTAGTAGTAGTAGTAGTATGGAAGAAGTGAATGTTTTCAGATATTTGGTATTTGGGAGTTGATGTGGCAGCAGATGGATGTATGAAGGATGAAGTTAACCATAAAATTGATGAAGCAAAAAAGGTGAGTGGCGCATTGAGGTATATGTGGAGACAAAAAGCATTGTCTATGGAGGCAAAGAAGGGAATGTATGAAAGTATAGTGGTACCAACACTCTTATATGGGTGTGAAGCTCGGGTTGTAAATGCTGCAGCGAGGAGGCGGTTGGAGGCGGTGATGTCCTGTCTAAAGGCAATGTGTGGTGTCAATATTATGCAGAGAATTCGGAGTGTGGAAATTAGGAGGTGTGGAGTTGATAAAAGTATTAGACAGAGGGCTGAAGAGGGTTGTTGAGGTAGTTTGGTCATTTAGAGAGAATGGATCAAAGTAGAATGACATGGAGAGTGTATAAATCTGTAGGGGAAGGAAGGCGGGGTAGGGGCCATCCTCGAAAAGGTTGGAGGAAGGGGGTAAAGGAGGTTTTGTGGGCGAGGGGCTTGGACTTCCACCAAGCATGCGTTAGCATGTTAGATAGGAGTGAATGGAGACGAATGATATTTGGGACCTGATGAGCTGTTGGAGTGTGAGCAGGGTAATATTTAGTGAAGGGATTCAGGGAAACCGGTTATTTTTATAGCCGGACTTGAGTACTGGAAATGGGAAGTACAATGCCTGCACTTTAACCCGTAAACGGTCCAAACGTTTATATACTTTCACTACCGTACTGCCCCAACTTTTTTGAGAAAAAAAAATTGTTGTTTTTTAATAGGAAAAAAGAGCATATGGTACCCAGGCATCCCCAATTATTTTAATATGGTGCACAGTGAGTGCTCACACCCATTCTCACATGTCTAGGTGACTCAGGCTTATCGTGACAATGTTAAATGTAGGACACATAAAACGTATATATACGTTTGGGGCATTAGCGGTAAAAACGTATATATACGTTTGGGGCATTAGCGGTAAAAACGTATATGTACGTTTGGGCCATTTACGGGTTAAAGGAGGGGTTTGGGATATTGGCAGTTTGGAGGGATATGTATATCTTTATACATATATGCTTCTAAACTGTTTTGTTCTGGGCATCTCTGCAAAAACAGTGATTATGTATGAATGAGATGAAAGTGTTGAATGATGATGAGAGTATTTTCTTTTTGGGGATATTTTTTTTCTTTTTGGGTCACCCTGCCTCGGTGGGAAACGGCTAACTTGTTAAAAAAAAAAGATACAAGAGAACTGAATATCCTATTAAATAGTTCATGGTATATAGCCTTAATCAATGGAAATAAGACAGACAGTCGTCAATTTACACACAATTTAGCCACCAAGCCATGGTGGCCTGTGGCCTGGTGGCTATAGCTCTTGCTTCACATGGTGAGGGTCAGGCTTCGATTCCTAGCGAGGGTAGACACACTGGGCGTGTTTCTTTACACCGATTGTTTATGTTCCCCATCAGTAAAATGGGTACATGGGTGTTAGTCGATTGGTGTGGGTTGCATCCTGGAACAAATGTGACCTAATGTGCCCAAAATGGTCAGCATAACAAGTGGTTTTCTACACAGTAGTATGTCACTGATGTCAGCTAGGACTGTATATCTTGTACATGTACTTGTAGTAAATAAAGATATTATACAATTATTCTTGGGTTATCCTGGGTGGCTAACTCTCCCCCCCCCCCCCCCGATTAATAATCCCTACAAATCTTATCTTAGTTTATACTTGACAATTAATCCTCTGTCATTTTTCTTTTTTGCTACACTGCGGTAAGCTCACCTCGTGTTTCTTGAAGGGGATGACTGAGTGCTGGTTATTACTGCACAACACTCGCTTTAAGTAATAACAACGGCGTTTCTCCATGTGTTCTGACGACTGACTGTATGACGACATTTGAACTGCTGCTGCTGCTGCTGTGTCTACCATTATTGTTACTGTGACCACCACTGCTGTTACTGTGACCACCACTGTTGTTACTGTGACCACCAGTTACTGTGACCACCACTGTTGTTACTGTGACCACCAGTTACTGTGACCACTGCTGTTACTGTGACCACCACTGTTGTTACTGTGACCACCAGTTACTGTGACCACTGCTGTTACTGTGACCAGTTATTACTGTGACCACCACTGCTGTTACTGTGACCACTGTTATTACTGTGACCACCACTGTTATTACTGTAACCACCACTGCTGTTACTGGGACAGCGTTGATGTTACTGCTTCAGAATACGTCGAGTTCACTGTTAGGTTGAACACTGTTACTGTTGATACAGTTCACTCAGCGTGCCGGGGAAAACGAGCTCATCTACATTATTATCATTACTCTTACTACGAGCCTACTCTTCTACTTTCAATCACTGGTTTTTAAATATTAAAAAAATAATCGCTTTGAGATAAATGCAGTAAAATATGATAAGAAAGGAGGAACACCAAAGCAGGCCTACTGGACCATTCTAGGCAAGTTCAACTAAAACCCTCTACCCACATCTTTCATGTATGTACCTGTCGGGCCTATTTTTAAAGCTACTCAAAGCTCTTCCTTCAGTGACATTATTCGGCAGCTTGTTCCGCTCATCTGCATCTCTATTGCATCACCGGTGCTTTCCTATAGCCTTTCTACACCAATATTTACCCAATTTGACCGCATGGTTGGGAGTTCTGTTTTAAAGAGGTTACCTGGAGAATTTACCTGGTTAGATAATGAAACTGAAAATGTTTATTTCCTTGCAAAGCTTTCATTACCTTTGTACCTTGTTCAGCTATCACAACTCCTGGGTCCAGTCCCTAGACCCATTATGTACCTCTAATCCTTTGACTACCGCCCACAGGATGGGTATGGTGTACTTAATATACATATTAAAGTAAATTTGCAAAACTTACAATGTGTGGTTTACATATTACAAAATATTAATTGCAAAGAAAACCACTAGCATGCCTAGGCATTTCGGGCAGACTAATTTTAATTCTTGCTGACTCTACTGACACAGGTTATGGAACAGTATATTGTAACGTTCAATATTGCATATTCATATAAAAGGTAATTAAAAAGTTTATCATTAATAAGACTGATAATAGTGAGGTAGTTCAAAACATATAACAGTATTACCATTAGTAAATTTAGTAATGGGAATGGTTTTATCTTGGCATGATACATTGTTTCTATATGAGCTCCTACTATATTGCCAGAGACAAATACAATTACATACCTGGAGTTTACCTGGAGAGAGTTTCGGGGGTCAACGCCCCCGCGGCCCGGTCTGTGACCAGGCCTCCTGGTGGATCAGCGCCTGATCAACCAGGCTGTTGCTGCTGGCTGCACGCAAACCAACGTACGAGCCACAGCCCGGCTGATCAGGAACTGACTTTAGGTACTTGTCCAGTGCCAGCTTGAAGACTGCCAGGGGTCTGTTGGTAATCCCCCTTATGTGTGCTGGGAGGCAGTTGAACAGTCGACAATTTTTGAAAAGTTGTATGCTTCTTAAATGAGATTAGTTAATTCTCGTGTATTTTCATGTCTGAATCCAAATATCACCTTGAAAAATGCTTGTTGGCTATAGGTTTAAAGATACGAGACATGTAATATTTTATTATTTTATTATAACGTACAATATGTGTCAGTATGTTTTAAACTCTAATTCGTTGAAGATTGAGACACTTATGCAACATATGGGAATCTTTATTCAGGAAACGTTTTGCCACACAGTGGCTTCATCAGTCCAATACAAAGTAGAAAGGCTGAGGGACTGATTACCTCAAACTCCTCTTCTCCTTACGCCTTTCTGCTTTGCATTGGACTGATGAAGCCACTGTGTGGCGAAACGTTTCCTGAATAAAGATTCCCATATGTTGCATAAGTGTCTCAATCTTCAACTTGTCGGTTTTTCAAATCATTCATCACAACTGTCAGACACTGCAGCATCATGGGATCTTGTTACAAAGAATTCTTCAACACTTGTCCAACCTTTGGACGAGGACCTACTTCGACTAGTGGATGGTACCACTATGACCCCACCTCCTGCTTCGCCTCACCTCACTACAGTATTAGTTTTAGTTTAATGTTTATTATGCACCCCATACCCATCCTGTGGGCGGTAGTCAAAAGATTACAGAGGTACATAATTGGTCCAGGGACTGGACTCCAAAGTTTTGATAGCTGAGCAAGTTGCAGAGGTAATGAACTCACAATTTACAAAGGTAATGAACTCACAATTTACAAAGGTAATGAACTCACAATTTACAAAGGTAATGAACTCCAGGTAGGTCTGGTCACAATCATGACAAGTTACAAAGGTATTTACAGATTACAGAGGTACGTAATGGGTCCAGGGACTGGGCCCCCAAAGTTTTGATAGCTGAACTAGGTACAAAGGTAATGAGCTCACAAGTTACAAAGGTAATGAATTCTGTAGAATGGTTACTTACGTTTATGCATGGCTACAATCATGAACAAATTATAGAGTAATGAGCAATTCACACTTCCACACCCGGTCACAACTGTAATGAGTTATTGGTGCAAATATTGATTGTTGAGTCACACACACCACACACACACACACACACACACACACACGAACATCACACCCAGACACTCACACACAACACCTAACAACACACACACACACACACACACACACACACACACACACTTTAGTTTAATATCTTTATTATGCACCCCATACCCATCCTGTGGGCGGTAGTCAAAAGATTACAAAGGTACATAATGGGTCCAGTGACTGGACCCCAAAGTTATGATAGCTGAACTAGTTACAAAGATAATGAACTCCAGGTAGATCTGGTCACAATCATGGCAAGTTACAAAGGTAATGAATCAGCTTCACTCCTATACATGGTTACAGTCATGAGCAAATTACAAAGTAATGAACCACTGATACGTCCTCACCTGGTCACAATTGTAATGAGTTATAAATACAAATATTAAGTGGATCATACACCCACACTAGCGGGCGCGCACACACACACACGAGGGCGCACGCACGGACATGTGCACACGAGCGTACAAATATATGCATACACACAAGGACGCACACCCACACACACACACCCACACACACACACACCAACACCCACACCCACACACACCAACACCCACACACACACCCTCACACACACCCACACACACACCCCTCACACACCCCTCACACACACCCACACACACACACCCACACACGCACACACACCCACACACGCACACACACACCCACCACGCACGCACACACACACACACACACACACACACACACACACACACACACACACATACACACACACACACACACACACACACTACAGTATATAAGCCACGTCTACGGCCCTATGCTGTACATTCTACAAGATTGATGGACTGAACATATCGACTCCAGGCTGAGGGAGTGATTACCTCAAACTCCTCTCCTTACGCCTTTCTACTTTGTATTGGACTGATGAAGCCACTGTGTGGCGAAACGTTTCCTGAATAAAGATTCCAATATGTTGCATAAGTGTCTCAATCTTCAACTTGTCGGTTTTTCAAACCATTCATCACAAACTCTAATTCGTACCTACTCTCTGTGTTTTTGCTGTAATCCAGTATGTATGTATAATGTTCGCCAAGACCATAGTCCCGGCACGGGTCCCAATCTTGCGATGACCCGTCTAATCCAGCTGTAATCCAGCAATGTCATCCTTCTTTTCTTCCTCCTCACCACTTTCTTCATCTGACTCGAAGGATACTAAAGTTGGTGCATCAGGAACAGGTAGACCTCCTTGTGGAACTGGGCGAATAGCTGATGGAATGTTTGATATTCAATGGACCCTTTTTCTTCTTTGACAAGCACTTTTGTACTGGAGGTACCATGCAGAAATAACAATTGTTGGTATGGTCTGTTGGCTCCCGCCATGTTAATTGGCACAGCAAAAAGCAGTCCTTTTCTCTTCCTGTTCAACCATTGGTGAAGGTTAGTTGCACAATTGTTGCAGCATATGTGTGGAGACCAGTTCTTATCCTGGTCACATACTTCCTGATGACGCTAGTCTTGCTGGGGTGGTACACAACATGCAGCTGCGCATAACAGTACTGGAGAAGCAACAATGGTGTTTGAAACAACAACTTGAGCACCACGAGGAAAAACTTACAGAGGTTGCAAATGAGTACATCAACCCACAGATAGTCAGCCATTATGAAAATGAGTGTGGTGATGATGAACAAACTGATGATTGCAGTGGTGTTAATAATCACAAAAACGATGAATCTGATAGTGGTGTTTACAATCACAGTGAAGATGATAAGGGCAGTGAAGACCATCATGATAGTCAACCTGATGAGTGTAATGTATTGATAGATACTGAGTGTGGAGATGACCCGGTTGTTGATAATGGTGTATGTATCACTGGTCATAATGATGAGGGAAGTGATACATGTGATGATAGTGATGAGTGTAATAAAAGCGGAGAGTTGAGTGCGAGGGATAGTGTCACCTTCCATACATTCACAGACAAAGAGCGCAGTGACCTCTGTGTACAAAGACTCCCAAGAGGTCTCACTAATGGAAGTGCACTTAGGAGACTCATGGATAAGGATAATACTGATGATATTGATATTGATTATGTCTGTTTGTTATTTAGTAAGTTTTTTCATTTTGCTGAGAAATTGAAAACTATCCCTGGACTTTTATAATGGAACCAAACTCGTATAAACTATCCATTTTAAGTTGGAATATTGCGTCACTTAGAAAAAGATTTTCTGACCTGCATCATAAAGTAACCACTGAATCCATTGATATTGTGTGTCTACAAGAGTGCAGAGTCCCTGAAAAATCCCAACCCCCTAAATTGCCATCGTTTGTTGCATATAACCTCACCAGGACGTTGCCATGTCCCTAGGACAGCTCTCCATCGGGCTGCTAACGGAGCCACTGGCTTCTTGGACCTCTTGGGGAGGGTCGATGGTGCTCGTGCAAGCAGCAGATCCCGGGGCAACTTGCTGCTGTTTGCAATGGCTGTCTGCCGAGGAGAGACAGGCACCTAGCAACATCTGTTGTTGGGGCAATGGATGAATTCCCTGCTATGTTTGTTAACTGCTCATTACTCTGTAATTTGTCTATGATTGTAATCATGTGATAACGTGTTTATCATTCATTACCTTTGAAACTTGTCATGATTTTGACCAGCTCTACTTGGAGCTCATTACCTTTGTAAATTCTCATGATTAATGTGTTTATGATTCATTACCTTTGCAATTATTCATGAGTGTGACCAGCTCTACCTGGAGCTCATTACCTTTGTAACTTGGTCATGAT